TTATCACAGTCATGATCTTAGTGGTAATAGCTGCAGTCACTAACGTGTTTTGAGTACTTATCATATGTCAGGCACTCTGCTAAGCTCTTTAATGTAATATGCCATTTATTCCTCATGACAACTCTATGAGGTAAGTACTGTTATTATCCTCACTTCACAGGATAAAAAAAACCTGAGGCTTCGTGTGGAGAAGTAATTTGCCAAAGGCTACTCAACCAGTAAGTGGTCGAGCCAGGATCCCAGGCCAGGCTGCTGTGCTCCAAAGCTCCCCTCTGACCCACCAGGCTGCATGGCCATTGGACTCGTCACCAAATTAGTGTGACCGGGTTTTTATGTGCCCACTACACATCCTGCCTCTCACGCTGCAGATCATTTCTTTACAATTACATTAGGATTCAATTCTGAGATTCTGGTCACAATTTGGTACCTGACCAGGATGACTTACACAATTTTCTGTCAAATTAAATGGAGCTGGACAATAAAAGTCCACTGGAACTCCCAAACTACTGCCGCTTGGGCCATACAAATTTGGACATTTGTTTAGGACCTTTGCTCTGAGTTCCTTGAGGGCAGGGGGAACCTGGAGGCAGTTCCAGCTACAAACACATTTGTTTGCTAATGACTGTGACCATGATACTTGATGAAGGAGAGCTCTTTGCATTAGTCCAAGCCTTGCCAATATAAGCCCTTTCAAACCAAATCTGAAAAGGTGGTTCTGTGATCTTCTCACGAACAATGTCTTGCACAATTACTCCCAGGCAGCCGTAACAGTCTTACTAATCTCATAGAAGGAGACATGTAAGGCCAAATGTAGCCTATTTTACATTTAAAGCCACTCTGAAAATACAAGGTGCTCATTAGCTGACCTAAAACTATGCCTCTTTAGTCATTGGTGAAGCATAGGCATATATTTTTGGTCACATGATGGACTTTACCCTTTACCCAAGAGGCAAAGATGACACAAACCAATGCACAAACCAGCAGGCACTGCATGGAAAGAAAATCTCCCAGGGTCAGACAGAGCTATGGCTGTAGCACGGCAAGCATGAGAGAATTTTACATTTGATTAGATTTCAAGTGTCTCAGCTTCAAGGGTTTCTCCTGTAGTGTTAAATGAATGAAGCAGAAAACAAGTTAAGCATGCAGTAGATCCCTGACCTCCAGGAGGGGCTTGCCTCTAGACTTCTGGGAGTGCCCACGTTGGCACTGCCACCAGAACATATACTGCCCTGTGTATATAGAGCGTATGATGGGATTAGTGATGTCATAGCTCCAAGTCAGCTGTGAAAAACATTCTTAATTTTAGCCAAAAGCCAATACATTTTTAACTTTATCTTTCCTCCCATTATAACTATTAAGTTTGGTTTTCCCTTTTGAGAGCACTTCTGGCTAGGAAACAAAGTATTTTATCACTTCAAAAAAAATGGCGGCGTAAATGACACCAGCAAAGAGCAACAAAGCTCTCTCGGGATGGAACTACTGGCCGCCAGGTAGACTCACTTGTTAGTCTTATAGTGTAAGGGACTCAAGCAAAATGTCTTAGCAAAATGTCAAGTCACTACAAGTCATGGACATTCTAGCTTGCTTTAGAATAGTAGACACCAAGAACACTAAGTCACTGATATCCAAGTGTCTATTGCATTCAGTATTTCACCTGTGTTATGAGCTATAGACAAAATAAAAAAATAAAGCAAAAGCATTAACAGGAGTTACCTGAGAGCACTAGAGATTATTAGTGAGTTTTATTTTTTCATCATAGCTTTTTAACTCGTTAACATTAAGAATCAGAAAAAGAGCCCTAAAAACATAAAAATTATTTTGAAAAAAATAGGCTTGATGTTAATGATCTTTTTAGCCCCAAGAACCACTAGATGAACCAATGCACAGCCATGGAGGCCAGTGGATGTTGCTGGTGAGTGAAATGAGCAAGTGATGTTGTTCATTAGTTCAAATATATAACATTTACTTATTTTAAAGCAAATTAATGACAACAGTGATGCTCTTTGGAAAACAAATCCTTAATCGGATATCAAGGATTATGGTTAATGGTTGTCATATCCAATTTGTTTTGGTTTTAGACATGTAATAATGAAAAAGTCTCATCATCACAGAGAAGTAGTTGCTAATGGTAACAGCTTTCACAGCTCACCTTGCAATCTTAGGAAATTTAATTTTCCAATTAAGCTGGCATAATTGAAGAAATGAATGAGAGTGCAAAAAGTATTTGCTTTGGCGGTACAATGTTTTTACAATTGTCACCACAATTTTTATAACTTAACTTAGTTCAAATAAATTAAAATTAATTTGACATGTTTAAATATGTTTGTAAGTTATTATTTAGATAGTGTAAGATATAGAAAATAAAGTTTAACAAAGCAACTATGAGAAACAACAGGTCTGTAGGCAGTTTGAAAATCACTCATTTAATATAACGAATAATCTTCTTACCCCCATTTTGTGGGGGAGAAAACTGAGGCCCGGAGGGTAAAGTAATGAGCCGAGGGTTCCAAACTTAATTATTTAGTAACCTTTTTGCTGCCCACGGTCCTTCGGATCTTAACAGGGAATAAATGCGGCTATCTGAATGGAATTTGTCCTCAAACAATATACTAGTACAATAGGTCAACTCTAGTCTAAGGCACATAAAGTAAACAAATATCTCATTGGCTAGATAAAATAAAAAAACTTGTGACTTTAAGATTGTCTATATTTTCCCTTTTGGGGGCTTCTCATTTTGCACACAAAGGCATCGATTTAATATTATTGTGTCACTCCTGATTTTACTATCAGACAGTTAAGTCTGTAGTTAGAAAACAGTTCCTTGAGGATGGATTCTGCTAAGTCTGATGGGAGGGTAAATCTCTTCTATAGTCTGTTTATTCTTACTCAGACCATCACTTCTTATTTTCTCTTTGAATTCAGAAAGGTTGCTTTGATCCCAGGCATGCAAATGAGTTCAGTGAGTTCCCCAGCAATCCTGAAGTATCTTAACCTCGGAGCAGCATATCTACATTTCCTAAAGCAGATGCCTCTTAAACCTCTCCTACTGCTAAGTATTAATTTTACAGCTTTGTTTAATTACTCCTGGAATAAAAAAAGCAGCTTCCTGGCATGTGTCTTCAACTCACGTTTTCTTTCTCCTTTTCTTTTTTAAATGGCCACCTGTCCCAACATTTATGCATGTGCTGTATTAGATGTTTTAAAATAACATAGGATGCAGAAAAAGCATACATTTCACGGGCAAACGTCTTTCGATATAGAATGACCTTTTGCTTTTGGATAATAAGACATAGGCCATGAATACGATTCCAACAGAGGAGCTAGGTAAAAATCAGGAGCCAGAAAAAATTGCATATATTTATTCTGATTGTAAACATTTTCTTAAGATGGTTAACGTAATGCTTTTATTCTACAACTGTCTCCCACAGCCATCTCTTTGTTCAAGTTTTTTTCCCAGTGGGGAAAAGCTTTATGTAGTCATGGGAGTGAATCCTTCGTTTCTCCTAGAAATACACATACACATTTTTATGGAAGTGTGTTTAAGATTTTCAAAGTCTCTCCATGGCTCAGCCAACTTGACTGAACTGGGTTAACTATGCTTTTCAATGGAATGGAATTTCTGGTATAGATATGGGTAAAGATGTTTAATAATAGAATGATTTTAAAATGGGATTGAGTTACATTAGGTATAATTATCTTGGCTAATAATACTTCATAGCTTAATATTTCCAAAATAAAGACGTCCAAGCAAAATTCTGACACCTCATTCAAATTTATACCATATACAATTTTTAATATAGAATTTTCTGGTGTAATATGAAGCTACACTAAGCTTCACCTGAATGATATAATTATAAAATACCTATTATTTCTGTTTCTTACATAAAAACCTGTCATTCGGGTTTACTTTTATAAGCTAGGTATATGAAATAGGCAATTTCACTTCACATGTAGCATTTAGAATTCATGAATACAAGGCAGAAAGAGTCCAAGTAAACTTTAAAAAGTTAACAGCAAAGAGCAAAACCTAAAATTGTATTGCCTCCAATTCAAAAACAGAATGATTTTCATCCACATTGCTCATGTAGTATTTTAAGTATTCAAAGTTTTGTTTTATGCACATATATTTGGTAAACTATGCTTTTAATAAGTTACAATGAGGTGTTTCTCAGAAATTGAAGGAGCTTGCAAAAGACTTCTTTGTCTTTTGGTTTTCATGATTAGTTTTGTAGAAGAGTTTTCTTATGTCCTTCCTCATATACTGGGAGTGAGTAAGCTCATAAAGAGATTTAACAGAAAGTGTTGCAACTATAAATACTACACCTATGACTTGCACTTCTGTGACTACTCCTCATCTGAGATGTTTTATTGGTCAGTCTGATTCCTGATCCTGCAAGTAACTGAGGGCCAATTATGGTTTCCAAAAAGCCAACAGTGATATGTGACAGCATCAAGTGTCTCTTTAAAGCTACTAATTAAAAAGACCTTTGAAAATATTTTACTATTGGAAATAAGTCCTGCTTCCTCTTTAATAAGGGCTGAGTTTATTCAAATATAGAACTGTTCTAAGACTGGTTTTGAGTCCAGTTAATCAGTACGGAAAATGGGTCAGCGGAGACCCTGAATGGGTCTGCTGTGATCATGTCACTGACTAGGTAACAGATTTGAAATGGAAAGAATCCTGAGAACATTGTGCCATCACATTTGTTAGGGCCACTGACCTGGACCTTGTTAAGGAGAGAAACAAGTAACCATGATGAACAAAAAACCAGAAGAGAAAATGACTGTGAGTGTTTCACGGGTAGCTTTATGAATGGAAAATCTGTAGTCCATGGGATGGTATCATAGCAGCAAGAACAAGGGGCATGGACACGAATAACACCTGGTTAGGAATGGATACTGGACAGCAACATTTACTTATTTTTAATGAAAACATCTTATTCTAGGAAACTTATTTGAAACTTTATGTTTACAATAGATGAACTGGTAAATAGACTGACCTGGCTGGACAAGGATCCAAGTTGCACTCCTGAAGTTTGGGCTTGGGTTTGATGTTCTCTGGGTAATAGTGACAGTACTGATCGGCAACCACGCGGTTGCTCCGAAGATCGTAACACTCAGCCGATGTCAGCTGGTAACCTGCAGTATCAAACCATATGGGCGAGTTTAAAGGCACAGGTCAATATGATATGTTTCTTCATGCTTTTTAGCCATCCTCACATTAAGGAAATTCTTCCCTGATGTGCCAGTCATTTCCAGGACAACAGACAGAGAAATGGAAGGCTCATTAACTTTTAATAGTTAAATCAGATTATTCAACAAATATTTGTGGTGTGCTTACTCTGTTCTGGGCACTGTTCTAATTTCTAGACATACACAAGTGAACAAGTTGGACTAAGTCTCTACATTCACAGAGCTTACATTATGGTAAATGGAGACATAAAGAGAAAGGAGAGGAAGGGGGAGGGAGTAAAGAAAGAAGTGTAAGATAAAGTGGCTATAACAAGAATAAAAATGGTATAAAGTGATAAAAAAAATAGTTAAATCATACTGTAGTTCCTAACCTACATGAGGGCATAAACTAGTTTATAAGACTCTGTCATAAGAACTATTATTATTTATTTGTTTCACATAATCTAAAAGTCTAACACAGATTCTGTATCCCAAAGAGATCATCAGTATTTATTTACCAACCACCTCATGCAAGGATGCAAAATTGGCTCTGTTGTTCCTGGAGCACCAGAGAGGAAAACTCCCAGATAAATGAATAAATAAACCCCAATACTGCTCCCCTTGTCAACGGGGGACAATGGGAGATAGCACAGGATCAGGTCCTGCCAGCTGCCTGACATTATTTTTGCCTGATTTCAATCTGGCAAGGTTAAACGGAGTAAATGGATGATTAAAACCTTAACAGTAGCCATTGTGAATTCCAAGGTTTCCTGCAGATAAAACAATAAGAAGCCTCCTACTGTATAAGTTTTGCTTCACCCCAAATCCTTTGTCATTTCTCTTTAAGTTTCTAGCCAATATTTCTTAGGTTCCATGTACAAATTTCCACTCTTAGAGAATCCTCTTGAAAAAAAAAGTGGTGCAGAGTATTACTTAATTCTATTGATAATGTGTTTTACCTTTTTAAAACCTGCCTCTTTCTTGTCCTATGGATTTCTGGTATGGTTCTGATGAGGACTTAGATTCTTGGGGTGAAAAATAAATGTACATGGAGAATTTTTAAAAATTAGACTTTTTTTTCATCATTCTATCTAACCCTAACTAACTTGAAAATATATTCTCTCTGGCAGTGGTTGAATATTGTTGTTACTAAATACATGTTAGAAAAGCAGATTTAGAGTACTTAAAAGTCTTGCAAAATTTTTTAGGAAATCAGACAGAGGTTTATAAACCAGAATTTCTGGCTTGAGGCTTTTTCTCAGACCACCCACAAAAATTAATTGTTCATTTAAGACCTAAAAAAAGATCTTTTAACAATTTTACTGTAAAGATGAAAAGCACTTTAATTTAATGGGTACGAGCACATGTTCCATTTAATCTTTTGTTTTATAAGAAAAATCAAAGAGCAAAATTTTATTTTATGCAAGTAAATATATCTTTAGTTGTCAATTATATTATACTCAAAAGCTGATAAGTTTATGACAAGATAATCATTTTATAATTTTTCATAAAATAATTTCTATTCAAGTACAGACTTTATCACATAGTGAGGTGTGGGTAGAAGCAAAAAACAATTTATAAATCTGAGATTATGATTTTTAAAAATTATAATTTGTCAGCATAAAATGTTGCTGTGAAGCTTTCTAGAGTATATGAAATGGAAGTTTAGATTAAAAATTAAATAAATGACCAAAATGGTCAGATAATTGTATTTTCTAAAGTTTCAGAAGGTAGTTGGAATAGCAATTCTTCACACTTAGCACAATGGTTAACCAGTTGAATCTGGAACCAGAAACATAAAAGGCAATTTAGAGATCATTTCTTAAGTAATTTTAAAACTGTGGTCCATGAAGGCTGGTTTCTATATTCCTCACATCTTCGCTCTGAGCAGTAGATATTCCTTTTACTTCCAAGTAAGATTTCTTTTTTGTAGAAGGCTTTGATAGCTCAAAACATTTGAAAACCACTGATGGTTCTACTTCTTCACTTAGATGTGAAGAAAATAGGCCAAAGGGCTGGAATATACATCAATCTAACATTCATTGACTCATACAGGGAGCCATTGTCAAGGTTACTCCAAAAGCAGCTTATATGAAACACATAGTGGGCATATTATTGAATTGCTACTTCTCTAAAAACATGGTGTAATTTAAAAAGAAAAAAGAAATTCCTGTGATTTCTTTACTTGAAACCACTCCCTATGTTAGTCATTAACAGGTGAATCAAAATAACATATTCCCACGAAACATCAACAAAATTGGCAGTTATTTTTTAAACCAAGTAATTTTCTATTCAGGGCATATAGAGGAACTGCAAACACTATTTTATTAAAATTCTTAAGATGTTGAGAGAATAGTTCTTTAATAATCAAGTTAAAAGCACTTTATGTATTTTTGATTAATTGCTTTTAAACTAAAATTTAACTTTGCTCTATGGAACCTCACGTTCAGCGATTTGTTCACATTATGTAGATGTAGATAACCCAGACAAAGATAAATTATGTATGTTAACTGGTTTACAAAAATTAATGGATAGTCATTTGTCTTCATTTTGAGGTACCATCCTTCTTTGCTCTTGTCAAAATAATCTAGCGATACCTCTGTGGATTAGTTACTTAAAGCCAACCAATTAACAGGCTTCCATGAAGCTGGAGCCAGAATGTATTTGATGTGCTCATTTTTAAAGGAATATATATATACAATTTTACATCCATTAAATTACCAAAGCTTATAAAGTGATAATCCACAAATGGCTAGCTCAGTTGGAAATGGAACTAAGATATTCTGGAAAGAATTTTGGTAATACATGCCAATGGCCACAAAAATTCTGAAATACACTCTGGAGAGTTTATTTCAAGGAAATAATTTCAAAGGAGAAAAATACTTGGGTATCAAGTTATCCATCACATTATAATAGAGAATTTTAAATGAATTAAATGCTCTTCTAAAGGGATATGGCTAAATCAATTATGAAATAATTCAAAGAAATTATTATGTAACCTGTATAATAATGAAGAGCAGAAAAAGGGGGAAAACCTTTTCTAGTGGCACAAAATGCTGTCCACACTACAGATGTGATGGGGCAGGGACAGACATTCATTTGGTGACTTTTCAAAAGAGATGTGTTTTTATGAATAAACTAGAGGCCTGGTGCATGAATTTGTGCATGGGTGGCGTCCCTCCACCTGTGATTGGGGCTGATCAGGGCCGTCTTGAGTCCTGATCAGGGCCAATCAGGGCCGGTGGCCAGGGAGGAACCACGGGAGGGCTCCAGGGTGTGTCTGGCCCCATCTTGCCCAGTCCCGATCAGTTGGACCCCAGCAGGAAGCTAACCTACCAGTTGGAGCATCTGCCTCCTGGTGGTCAGTGCACGTCAGAGTGACTGGTCAGTTGACCGCTCGGTCAGACACTTAGCATATTAGGCTTCTATATATATAGATAAGGCAGTGACATTCCCTTTTACTGCACAGATTAAGGGGTAGAGCTGAAAAATAACTGAGCCAAAGTCTGCAGTATAGTGATTTTTCCCCCCCCCTGGTAATAAACTACTTCCTTTAATTAAATTAATCTCTGATTCTTTTTGGACACATCATGCTATAAAATAGGCCATTACAAATACTCTTCACTTGATTCCCGAATAAATAAATTCACTTCAACCAGATGAATAGTTTTTCCTCAAATGAAAAAATCGCCTCCAGACCACACTGTTGCCAAGCTCTGACACTTTTTGTCCTGGCCTTCCATGGACTCAAGGAAAGGAGTGAAGACAATTTCCTCTAATGGGACTCCATAGACAGAAACTAGAGCATCTGCCTTATGGGAGGGCTTCAGGATTTGGCCTCATTCAGAAGAAAGGATCTGACCCCACAGCACTAAATTTCTTCTATGCTGAAGTGACTCTACTCTTACAATAGCCAAGTCTTCCCTCTTAGAAGCCAACAGATCCTAGGCTAAATGAACAACACTGTTACCTCCTCCACACGTTGCTGAGCAAGGAAAGAAATCCGTCTCCCTCCATCGGTGGATGATGGGCTGATAGAAGGTGAACTGGACTGTGCTGTTAGCAGGCCCCGAGTTGTGGATCTGTAGGAGACAACAGCAAAGTAGAGGAGCTAGTGTGACAGGTAGGTGCTTTCTGGGTCCCTTGCCACTCTGAACAAGGAAGTGTGGTAGTGCTGATGGCCTTAGGTTGTGTGAAGGGTTGTGTTGGGAGAGAAGTGGCACCCGTCTTACCATTTAACCAGAGAATGCTTCTTGCATATACCTACTGTCACTATCATCACTTTCCCAGTTTTGTTGTAATTCCCGTAGGATCTTATCCAAAGCTAATTAGTCCCTCACCCTCTTTTATTTCCATCCTCTCTGGTATAATGGGTAAAACTATGTGGATTTTAAAATGTAAGATCAGAAAGAGACAATTTGTTCTAAGAAAATTTTAAATGCCATTTGCTGGAAAAAAAGAAAAGAAAAAAAAGAAAGATACTATCTTTGGTTAAGAAAAATAAGAGTTAAAGAACTAAGTAGCTCTTCCCACTCAGAGACATACATGGAGTTTCCTGACAACTCGGTGATTTATATATTTTAATGTGCAAAGTTACCAATTGGAAGTTTGCTAAAATGCAAATTCCTGGGCTCAAGCCCAGAAATCCAGGCAATTCGAATGTGAAAAAAAAAGAAAGATACTATCTTTGGTTAAGAAAAATAAGAGTTAAAGAACTAAGTAGCTCTTCCCACTCAGAGACATACATGGAGTTTCCTGACAACTCGGTGATTTATATATTTTAATGTGCAAAGTTACCAATTGGAAGTTTGCTAAAATGCAAATTCCTGGGCTCAAGCCCAGAAATCCAGGCAATTCGAATGTAGCATAGTCCAAGAACCAAACTTTGAAAAACACCAATTTACAGAATTGAAAGCAAATATATCAAATAAAACATGTGCTTATGGAAATGACAATTCCTTTGTGTGTTTTTTAAAGAGAGGATATGAGGCAATAATTTTTTAATGGTTCTTAAAAGTACAAGGTTGAGAGAAAATACTCAAACTGAAAGAGAAGAAAAAGGTACCCAACAGGAATGATGCCTTGATTTGGTGAAGACAAAATGACATATGATACAACACTTAGATTGCTCAGCTAGGGCAAGGCTTGGACTGATTATTATACTAAAGGAAGTTCTATGGACAACTGAGAGGACCACCTCTTACTCCAACTCCATTACAGGAATGAGAAGTGTCATCAGGTGAATCCTGTGGCCAAAGTCTTTGTCAATATTTCTAAGGCTTACTGCCTCGTCTCTCAGATATGTGCATAGATTCGGCCTTCAGATTCTTAAAAAAGAGAGCCTTATTCTTCTGCTACCGAATTTAACAACTGGATTAAACATCTAGGATGCAGAGGATAACAGAAACACTGAAGAAACAGGGAATAGGTCCTGACCCCCAGATGGGTGTTTGGCGTTTTGATGAGCATATGGGAATATTCCTCAGAAAATCTGGAAGAGCTGGAAAGGAGAAAGAAGAAAGAGAGAAAAGCTATCATTTATCTCATGTCATGCTGGGATTCTGACCCATGGTGCATCCAGGTCTTTCCTGATTAGAATAAACAGTGATACAATTCCCTACTTTAAAGCAAAAACAGCTGAAGCAATACGACATCTTTCACAAATGGGGAGCATGGCCTACAGATGAATATTTTTCAGTCCCAGTGTGTCAAATACAGGATATTTAATTGCTTGCTTAGGGATGTAGTATTAATCACATTCTTTGGAAAGTTTTTTTTTAATTTTTTAAGCTCACAAAAGCCTATAGCTCTCTTGGGATGTGTGGTTATCATGCTGGAAAGCTATTAGAAGAAGGCTCTGATTTGAACAAAAGCTCCATGAAAAATACTAAAAAGGCCAGAAAATCTGTTTAGATCCTGAGAGATGAATTGTTTTGCAAGGGTCCCTTTTGGGATGCTAGAGATTAAACTGAGTCCTGGGGAAGTGGGGGGTGGGGTGGGGAATCAAAATTAGCAGAATATAACATCAAGGTACTTGGACACTTTGATGCCATGGTGTCAAGGCGATATGGTGTCAAGCGAGAGGGTTACTAAAACACCATGTTGAAGGGGGAAAAAGCAGCTTAGGAAGAATATTGTTCTTAATGAATTCAATGAGAGCGACATGTAATGACAACAAATGCTGAGACTCTATGTCCACGTTTGAGAAGAGACTGATAACTGGATTGAACACCTAGGATGCAGAGGTCAACAGGAACATGGAAGAAATAGGCAATAGGTTCCACCCCTAGATGGGTATTTTGTTTATTTTCATTGATAACATTCCTGCTTCTCCCTTCTCTGTCATTGAGTAGCTACAATTCCCACAGCAATCAGCACTAAATTCGGTCCTACTTTGTGCAGGATACATTTTATTTATATTAAATCTAATCTTAAAACTCCTCCTGCATTATCTTCCACATTAGCATTACAGTGAGAGAATGGAGGCCCAGAGAGGTTAAGTATCTTTGTCAAGGCTACACAGCTAGGAAAAAACAGAGCTGGGGTTTGAATTCAGGTGTGCCTGGTTCTAAAGCTGCCATTCTTTTCATGGAATCAAGCAATCTTTGTTAGTGCTGTGAAGATATAAGTATTTATCTTTAGCAGTATTCGTGTACCTCTCTTCTCAGTATCTTCTTAATTTTTCATTTTCAAGTAGGAAAAAATGTTTAAAATAAAAAGAAGAGGCTAACCTGATGTCTAAGTTTGATGGCCTAACTGTTGCTTACAGAGATGAACCACTGTGTTCCTTTTTGGTTTTATTAATCCTGGGCTGCTGGGATCACTGTTATCATCTGCTCTGAAGCATCATCAACCCTAAATCCTTAAAACTCAGGCCCTAGTATGAACGCTTCAGTGTGACACATTAGAATTTTGTTTAAGGGAGCTAAATACATCTGGCATGTGTAATTTTGACCTCCTTAAGTTAATAAGCAAAAAGAATGTTCTGAACCATACTTTTCTTCCTATAATTACAATGATTCGGTGTTTCAAATTCAATTTAATGACTTCTCACACTGAAAGTAAAGGAGACAGAACTGGACACTTGCCATAGCGACTGATTGCACTGTCATAATAGAGCTGCAGGGCAGTACAAATGGCACGTGGGTAGCAGTTGAGCTTTAAGTCCATGTAAAATCAAAAGAATTAGGAGAAATTTCAAATACAGTGGGCCTTGACTTACGAGTGTCCCGACTAACGAGTTTTTTGAGATACCAGCTGTCTCTCGGCTGATTTTTTGCATTGAGTTGATAGAGTAATTTGAGTTAATGAGCTCCTTAAGGAGCTCTTTAATGAGCTAAGTCTTGGAACGAATTAAACTCGTAAGTCAAGGCCCCAAGTCTCGGAACGAATTAAACTTTTAAACTCGTAAGTCAAGGCCCCACTGTACACGAAAGGCATCAAATACACAAAGGCTCTCCCAGATGAAGCACTGTGAAATGCCATACCTCTTGCTTCTCATTTGGGAAGAGCGTTAGTTGTGAGCCTTGGAATGTTCCTCAACTAGGTTCTTTTCTTTCTATGACGTTGTAGGAAATTTTTCCCTCCAGACAGGTGAGTAGGGGGACTGGCATTCAGGAGTCCCCCACCCACCTTGGCTGCAATTGAGTTGCTGCTCTGGCCTGAGGAGAGGAGGACAAAAGGGAGCTATTCCCATGAGCCTCTGAGCTGGAACCCACAATGGCATTCAACTTGGTCACACCCGTCTCACGGCAGCCCAGGGTGTCATGACCAGGCTGTGCTTGAAAGTGGTAGAAATACATCAATATGCCTGCTTGGAAGGGAATAACATGGAAAATAGGAAAAATCTATCTTTTCAATGTTTCAGTCTATTATGTTCAATTTTGGACTGTTCTGGTGGTTAATGGTGATAGTGAATCCTCAAGGAACTGTTAAAAATACTTTAAAATGCTTTTCTGGGCTTTCAAAATATGCAACAAGATCTTCCTTATATCACTTAAATGTTTACAAGCACTTGATATCGATATAATTGTTATTTCATTGCCTTTCTCCTCCATATGCTATAAACACTATGAAGGCAGGTGCCATTTATCTTGCTCATCACTCTTTCTTTAGCATCATATACAATGTTTGGCACATAGTAAGTAACCAATCAATTGCCCCATACTGTAAATGAATGCATGAATGAACAAACAAATGAATTATATAACGATGATTGTTTCAGATACTATTTGTGGCAAATTCTTAGAATAATTATCATCTTTATATGTGTATATCTACCAGTTTTCTTGAAGATGTTATTGATCATTTCTTTTAAAAATATATATATATTATTGATTTTTTACAGAGAGCAGGGGAGAGGGAGAGTTAGAAACATCGATGAGAGAGAAACATCAATCAGCTGCCTTTTGCACAGCCCCTATTGGGGATGTGCCCACAACCGAGGTATATGCCCTATATGCCCTTGGCTGGAATCGAACCTGGGACCCTTCAGTCCGCAGGCCAACACTCTATCCACTGAGCCAAACTGGTCAGGGCAATCATTTCTTGTTGACAAAATGTATGTTGATAAAATGTTGCTAAAGTTCATGAAAAGAAGCAGTACTGTTATAACACAACCCTTACCCAACAGTACTTCCCACTGTCCTTTGATAATACAGTAGTATAGTAGAGTGGAAAGGGCTTGTAAAAATGCTAATTATTATTGAGTGAAATATAAATTCAATCATTCCATTGTTTGAAATACCTGACAGTTTCAACAATTGGAAATACTGACTAAAATTAGGGTTTATTCAGTAAAAATAATGATAAAAAATTGTTAGCATCCAACTTTATTTTTACACTTCTTATAGAGTTTTCTAGTCCCCCTATATTTCCAGACCTCAATAATGGGAGATACTAGTACAGCAGTTCAGCCATAGGTCCCTGGGTCAAGGTTGCATGAGAGATGTCGGTTATGGATTTACTACTGCCCACAGCCCTTGAGTAGGGCAGCAGACCAGAGATGCCTCCATGGGGATAATGGGTATAATGTTGGCTACAAAGGCTTCCTTAATCACATTAGCCTGTAGCAAGTATCTACAGCTTTTATTGTGCCCATTTTATTTTAGTACTTCATTATATGCATCACTATTTCAACATTTCCTATCCAGTGTGTTATCTCTCAAATGACATTATAACCTAGGAAAGGGCAGATGCCACGTAATTATGTACAGGGTTATGCTCAAGGATGTCCAGAAAGAAATATGAAGGCATCTCTCCAATACTCCAAATGGAAACCATGGTATTTCTAGTTCCTAGACTACTCAAACAAGCTTCTTGGACTGCAATTAGAATGATGTCAACCTTCCTAACCCAAATTCTTCAACTATAAAAATGTAATGCATTTAGTAAATTATTCTCTGTAGGAAGTAACTGGTCTCTAGTTTTCATTGCATGAACTGTGAGTCAGTGTTCTTAGTTCTAAGTGCACTTATTGTTTACTATTCTACTGTGTATTTCTGCCCTTTTTGTGGCTTGGGCACCTCATCAGTCTCTTTTCTATCTATCTAATATGGATTTCTTCTTACATTTTAAAAATGAGCACACACTGACATGAATAAATATAACTAAGTTTCTTGTACAAGTAGAGCTAAGTTGGAAGTTCTAATCCTATATAATAAAAGGCTAATATGCAAACTGTCCCCTCAACCAGGAGTTCGACTGGGAGTTTGACCAGGGGGCAGGCCATGCACAAATTCGTGCACCGGGCCTCTAGTAAAGACGGGAGTTTGACCAGGGGGCAGGCCAGCCAGCCAACCTGCTGCATCCCCTTCCCCAGCCATGCACAAATTCGTGCACCGGGCCTCTAGTAAAGAATAAACCATAACTAAAAAAGACCATCTAGTATCGGGGAAAGTCATTATCTTCTATTGAGTCTGCAGCTTGAGAAAGGATGCCAATGGCATGGTAGGAGGAAGGGGATATTAAGCCAGGCAGTCATCCAGCCAATAGCGAATTGCCCCGACACTTACTGTCACAGCCAGTCTGCTCCTACATCCATCTGTCTTAATAGCTACACCTGCCAAGTTGTTCCTGGGTATACCAGTTATTTGTAAATTGACCATCTTCAGAATAGCAGCTTTCTGAGTATACAGTGCAGACTATTGTGATAAGTTGGTTCAGAAGTTAAAGCATTTAAAAAAAGATGGAAAGGCAGTAATTTGGATCTATCTGCTGTTATACACACTATCTGATTCAGTTCCTCACAAAGACTATGGGGGAGTATTTTATTACCATTTTTCAAATGAGTAAACAGGCTCAGGAAGGTAAAATAACACACTGAGGTTACATATCCAGTGAGCAGGAGACTATACCAAACTCTAGAGAGCGTATCTTTTGTGCCACTCTACACTAGCATTGCCAAAATGTTGTACAACCAATGTATAATTTTTAAATTTTTGGAAGATATGAGTCCCTAGGAAGCAAGGTGATAATTCAGTCTGGTTTTAATCTTTAAAGGAGATTTCAAAACATAACTTTGGAACCAATGGCAATATATAATGATTTTCACTGTGAGAAAATTTTACTGCCATGCAAAAAATGTTTTTTTTCTTCTTGTAAATAAACAAAATTTGTGTTTTGGCAATAAGTTCCCATAAAGATGTTGACAAATAATCATTTCCATTTTGATTCCTGTGTATCTCATTCAAAAAGGAAGTCATTGCTTAAGTTAATATATAATGCAAAAGGGACTACACTTTGAATGATACTGAGGATGAATGACAAATTATGTGTATAATTTCTAAGCACCTAAATCATGAAAAATGATAAAAAATCAAATGGTAACTTTATTTTCAGCTATTTCTGGGGGAAAATTAGGGAAGAAAAATTGCTTCATTATGAATCACTGGGAAAAAAGTAATTTTCTTCTTTTCTCTATATCTTCTTAAATTATATGACTCATTTTCAAGTTTGAATAAACTGATTTTAAAAATTACATAATCTATTTTAGAATAACTTGACATTATTTGATCTTGATATTTTCTAATGAAACCTAAATTTCCTCTCAATTGCAACCTGAATCTACATCACAAAATAGGATATATAATGCAAAAATCAATGAAATGATAGCTTAGCTTGTTTCTGAATGAAAACATTTACAGATGGTAGGCATCTAGGAAAGCATCAAAACTTCTTTAAAGTCCATTTTTTCTTAAATATGTGTATTTACATGTAGAAGAAAAAAATAGTCTTAGAAACAACAGAGAATTTTGAAAAGAGTTCTGGGCCAGAAGAAAAGAGGTTATTTTTGGTTGTGGTTTGTCATCGGGGTGAGCTTGGTCCTGTCACTCAACTTCCCTAAAGCTCAGTTTCCTTGTAGGTAACATGAAGATGTCAGCATCTGACCCCCTTCAGCAACTGCCATGTGCCTAAAGTCCTTTATTCATCCAACACTTGCTAGGGTTTGTTGTGTTTTCTTATGGAGATATGAAGACAAATACGATTTAGTTTCTGGCCCTCAAGGACCACAAAGTAGGAAGATGTAATGTCAACAGGAATGTTGGGTTGTATCACAGAATGCTTCTGGATGGAGAAAATACTGAAGAACAGTTGTAAGTTAGTGAAGTGAATGGAAAAAGAAAAGATAATAGCATTTAGACAGAGGAAACAGCATTATGCAAAGGTAATCAGTTATGGGATTGCAAGATTTGGGGACCTGTGAGTCATTCAGTTGGTTGAAACAGAAGAGGAAAACTCAAAGGTGAGGTTGGAAGGGTAGATGAACCCAGATTATTGAGAGTTATACATGCTATGCTATGGGTCTGCATTTTAACCCCAAAGCATTGGGGGGCGGGGGGTGGAGCAATGCAGCATTATGAAGAGAGGGGTTCCGGTTTTAGAAAACTCACTCTGAAAGCAACATGGCTAATGGATCAGAGGCTGGAAACTAATTCAGAGTCGATGATATATTAGTTCAGGTGAGAAATTCAAAGGACTAAAGAAGGAGAAGAAAAAATAGTTTTAAAGGATGATATAGAGGTAGAACTGACAAAGTGTAATGTCTAATGAGGGGTCTAGGAGATGGGGAAATTCATGTGAATCAAAGTTTTCCGAGTCAGCTGGGTAAACATTGTATTATTTAAGATAAGAAATCGAGAAGATAGAGCAGGATTTGGGGATAGACGGGTCCAATTTTGGACATGTTGAGCTCATTGTCTCTGTTGGACATCCAAGTGGTGATGTGCAGAAGGCAGCTGGATATATGAAATGCATTCAACAATGCCATGAACTATTCAAATGTGCATATTACTTGAATCATATTCTATACTTTCAGTATGTGTATTAACTCTCCAACTCCCCTAGGGAAATTAGCATAAATGGTTTATTCAACAGTACTCTAAGAGCTTCAAAATATAAAGATATTTCTCCATTTTTTACAGTACAGGCATACCTCGTTCTATTGCGCCTCGCTTTATTATGCTTCACAGGTGTTGCGTTTTTTACAAATGGGAGGCAAGACCCTCCACCAGCGAAAGGATTATGACTTTATTGTGATACTTATTTTATTGCAGTGGTCTGGATCTGAAACTGCAATATCTCTGAGGTATGCCTGTATTTGCTTGTTTAACTACTTACAGCATCATTTCTATTGTGAGCTATCTCTTATGGTTTATAGCTTCTTGCTCAAGTTCATGTGGCTGGCAGGTGGACTGGATTTAAAAAAGCTACCATGCAGATGGAGGCAGTACAGTACTCTGGAACCCTTCTTCCATCCAACCTCACTGCCTATCACATTTTCCTATATGCATTCTTACTTTCAGCTGCCCTGGGGTCATGAAGCCTTAGCTTAAATCAAATGTCCTCTGGCTCCAGGTCCCATGATGAAAAATTTATGGAGTCCTGGACACATTACAAGTTTTACAGCTTTACAGCTGAAATCCTTCAGGTCCTTCTGACCTACTGAAGGAAAAAATATGTTTTATTTTATTGTGATTCCCAAATGTTCTTCTAGTGTGTACATTTTTTCTTACAGAATGTGTATGTTGCTTCCAGCAATGTGTTTTATATTACCTGCAAGAGTAGGGAAGCTCTGATAGAAGGAAACAACCTCGTCTTGTTGCCAGTACAAGGGAAAACAGAACTTGCAATTGGAAGGAAGCATGACCAAGTCTATGGATCATTAGTTTGTCTCTCTCTTTGACTAAGAATACCTTATATGAGTCAGTGACTATACCCTAACTTGTTTTAAAAACAGTTTGTATCCCCCAACTAATGACGTTTTGGCTTTGTGAGTGGGGTCTTTTTATTAAAACACACACACACACACACACACACACACACACACACACAATTTTCTTAGGACTTTAAAAAAAAAATATGTTCTTGTAAAGTCCAGGATGTAGCTCAACACCCATGAATTAAACATCTCTTGGATAATTGGCTTTCCAAATCTCTGTCAAAGCCTAAAGCTCTCTCTTCAGGAGATTGTAAACATCATCAGTTTGGAGGGGGCTTGAACACAAGATACCTAAATGGGCTTACCTTGACAATGAAATCTGCGGTGAGCGGTCCAGCGATACTCAGGTTCTCTTTGCCTGGATATTTCTGGAATTCCACACTAGAATTGTCCACAAGAAAGATGCCTGGAGAGCTGAGACTGTTTTCACCTTTAGCCCCCTGGAGGGTTTTGGTTTCTAGATCTACGGAATCAAACACATGAAGAGAAGAGAAAGATGTTCCCAAGGTTGCAGCAGACCACATGCAAGTACTTTCCATGGAACAGAGCCTAGAGCTATATAAGGGGAAGTATCATTCTTTATATGGCTGACACAATTACAATTAGGATATAAACAAAATATATAGGCACACTGGATCACATAAGAGTTTATGCTGCAAATGAAATTATTTTAAAACTCATTATCCAAACATTCAAGTCTCCCTCCAAAAAAATCTTTGATTCCCTGGATGACCTCATTTGGGCACTCCACCTGATCACAATCCTATTCCTTTGACTAAACCATCTTCCATACATATTCATTGAGTTCAGTATTCACAGCCCTCAGCCTAGAATACCCTACCACTTTCCTTTTTACTCTATGAGATCCAGGGTGCCTCACTGAACTCCTTCAGTACCTGTGTGACTTTATATTCATGAATTACCTTGTATTTATTTATACTTTCTGGTTATTTATTTTATGTGTGCTATCTTTAAAAATGAAGAAAGTCTAGTGACTTAAGGACAGAGAACTAACTGTCCGTTTTGTTTCTCTTTCTTTTTAAAATCCTTCTTGGTACTTCATTTAGTATTATGTGCATATATGCTCTTTCGTAAGAGCTTAGGACAGAAAGAAGAACTTCTTGATTCCTGGAACATTCCAAGCTGAATCTGGCCAATGACCAAGTCTGTGAATCATGTTTTCTTGTAGGAAATTAAAGCCTGCTGGGAGGATGATAATTATGACATGTATTTCAGAGCAGGGGAAGTTCTTATGTGATTGAGAGGGATTTAGAATAACTGCCCGCTGCATAAGGGAATGTAGATAGGCGAAATCTAACAAGGACCCTTGGTTTGGGCAGGGGTTCTTTAGAAGAAAGATGGGGAGCCTGAGTGAAGCTCTAGGTCTTCTACCCTAGATTCAATCAGACCGATTCCCTTCTTAAATGTTTTACAGATTGGGGTTCTGTGGTTAAGAATAATTTTACGGTTTCTGGATGTACTATCTGCGGTGAGCGGTCCAGCGATACTCAGGTTCTCTTTGCCTGGATATTTCTGGAATTCCACACTAGAATTGTCCACAAGAAAGATGCCTGGAGAGCTGAGACTGTTTTCACCTTTAGTCCCCTGGAGGGTTTTGGTTTCTAGATCTACAGAATCAAACACATGAAGAGAAAGATGTTCCCAAGGTTGCAGCAGACCACATGCAAGTACTTTCCATGGAACAGAGCCTAGAGCTATATAAGGGGAAGTATCATTCTTTATGTGGCTGACACAATTACAATTAGGATATAAACAAAATATATAGGCACACTGGATCACATAAGAGTTTATGATGCAAATGAAATTATTTTAAAACTCATTATCCAAACATTCAAGTCTCCCTCCAAAAAAATCTTTGATTCCCTGGATGACCTCATTTGGGCACTCCACCTGATCACAATCTTATTCCTTTGACTAAACCATCTTCCATACATATTCATTGAGTTCAGTATTCACAGCCCTCAGCCTAGAATACCCTACCACTTTCCTTTTTACTCTATGAGATCCAGGGTGCCTCACTGAACTCCTTCAGTACCTGTGTGACTTTATATTCATGAATTACCTTGTATTTATTTATACTTTCTGGTTATTTATTTTATGTGTGCTATCTTTAAAAATGAAGAAAGTCTAGTGACTTAAGGACAGAGAACTAACTGTCCGTTTTGTTTCTCTTTCTTTTTAAAATCCTTCTTGGTACTTCATTTAGTATTATGTGCATACATGATCTTTCGTAAGAGCTTAGGACAGAAAGAAGAACTTCTTGATTCCTGGAACATTCCAAGCTGAATCTGGCCAATGACCAAGTCTGTGAATCATGTTTTCTTGTAGGAAATTAAAGCCTGCTGGGAGGATGATAATTATGACATGTATTTCAGAGCAGGGGAAGTTCTTATGTGATTGAGAGGGATTTAGAATAACTGCCCGCTGCATAAGGGAATGTAGATAGGCGAAATCTAACAAGGACCCTTGGTTTGGGCAGGGGTTCTTTAGAAGAAAGATGGGGAGCCTGAGTGAAGCTCTAGGTCTTCTACCCTAGATTCAATCAGACCGATTCCCTTCTTAAATGTTTTACAGATTGGGGTTCTGTGGTTAAGAATAATTTTACGGTTTCTGGATGTACTAAAGTGCCTAAAGTATTTATACTAAATTCTTCTAGATGTTGTTTAAGTCAAGCTCTGTACTGCAAGGGAATACCAATAGGGGGAAATGCTGGTGTCCAATTAAATGCCCATGACCCTTAGGTGAAGTCTGTGCAGCCCTTCTCTGGGAGTAGGTCAGATTGCCCTCCCCTATCCCAGCACAGAGAGGCCCTCCCAGAAGAACATAAGGCACCCAACAAAATATTCGAGTGTAGGAACTACAGTTGTCATCAGAGGAGAGTAATAGCACTGCATCTCCTTCCTCCTGCCTTCAATCTTCCAGCTGCCTTACATGTGTTTACATGCATTTATGGAGATATCTCCAGGATGTAAGTTCATTTAGTTTTGGAAAAATCTTAGAGTTCTAAGCCTAATGTGAGCATCTGGTTCAATTTTATCACCAGGCCTCCTAGTAACCATCTCAAGGTATTCTGATGAAAGATGAGCTGGACCAGACCAGACTGCCTAGTCTTGTTCTAGTTTGGCCCTAAATTTTTAAGGTTGATCTCATATTGGAGCAGCTGCTGGGAGTGAAAGGCTAAGGGTTGCAAGAGAAATGGGGCATCATTTACTCACATATTCATTCTGAATTATATTCCAAATACAAAACAAAGCAAAAACTTTGTTAGTTATACATATGTTATCAATAGTATATCGACTGGGGGGGGGGGAATTAATGAAGATTTAATTTTGCTTTTCATCATCCATAAATATCATTTGCAATTTTTATCTACCAAATCCTTGGGACAATTAAAGCAAATAAGGCCAATTCATCAGCTTCCTAGTGATCACATAATTAGGGAATTTGGGAGGCTAATACATTTATAAAAATAAATTTTCCTCTTATATCTATATCCCTTTGGGTTCTTTCTTCCACAGTGAGGAGTCAGTCCCCAGGTGGGTGATGGTCTTGGTCTGATGGATTTTTGCCTATCCCGGCTCAGAAAAATACTATTTTTGAGTAGGGTTGCTTCACCAGCAGTTACCTCTGTCCAGCTCTCAAAGGGAAAAATAAATCATTTAAATGGTAATAGTGAACACATATATATCATCCTTTGACATGTGAACACTATATTTTTGGGGGCTGTTCAGGGCTAGGAAAGAACTTGGAACCATATAAGGTGTCTTATCAGCATCTTTTGGCTTTGCCTGAACTGTACCTTACTTATTCCTTTACTTCACATGACCCTTCACATCCCACCTCTCCCATAAAATGTACTTATTTTTATTTTTAGAAAGACTATAGTAGGCTATCTGAACTTTCACAGGCTCCAATTTGTCTTCATCTTGTTTGTCTTTCTGGAATGATTTCAGTCATAATCCAATTGCCAAAAGACAGGGCTTGCTACCTAAATTGGTTTCTTAGGCATGTGTGTGGGTGGGGAGAAAGAGCAGAAGATGATAGATGGCTTTGTCGGAACCCAGGAACAATTGAAGTGGAGATCAGAAATGCCTGAGGGATCAACTGAAGTGAAATCTTCCAGGGGAATTGAATTTTGCAGAAAACACTAACATATCCTCTCCTCCCGGCTCCCTGGTTCACAGCCCATAATTTTCAGTTTGTAACTTAGAGGTCTATGTCTAAGCAGCACTAAATGATATTAAAAAAAAAAAAAAAAAACATGGCATAACTGAATTGTTTGTAACTTTGAGGTCTACGTCTAAGCAGCACTAAATGATACTAAAAAAAAAAAAAGACGTGGCATGCCTGAAGGTCAGTTCTTGTACAAACTCCAGTGGGACCATGCTACTATTTGATTTTTGGTCCCACCAGAGTTTGTATATGATCTCCCCATTAGTAATCCTGAACCCAATAACTATCTTCAAGATATTAGGACCCTATATTGTCTTTAATACATGGGATGCTTAATTTACCAAAATGGTTTTCTTTAAATGCCACAGGGTTAAGGTTGTTTGGGGTTTCTATGTTCCTCTGAATTGATACAGTAATGAAACACGAGAAAAGGAAGAATAAAAAAAAGAGAAAGAAGGAGAGGAAGGAAGGTTGGAAGGAAGAAGAAAAAAATGCCAAGAGACGAGGTAAGAAAAAGATCAAGATTGATTGGAAATAAAGAAGATAGAAAATGAGAAATAATATTCACAAAAGCATAAACATGTGCTTACCTCAGGAACAAACTACGGGAGGATCTATTTTGTATTTTTCAGGATGACTGTGGTTAGAGATAATTACCAAAGAGTTTTTTTTTTGCTATCTAATTAGGCAACCAAAAGATAAACAGAAGCATTCAAAATATCATATTATGATAAAGTGGAAAGATTTATACTTCTGTATTTTAATCTATTCTGGGAACAAAAAATAAATAATAATGCCTAAAATTCCCAATACCCAAAGGAAAACAACTAAGTTTACTTACACAAGTGATCGGGTCCTTTTAAGGTAAGGTGAATGTGTCTGCTTCCATAGGGAATGGCAACCACAGTGTCATCCACTAGAGAGAAACAAAGCAAGGTCTTAAAAGCACATAATTGGGTATAAAATTACTGATGGTCTCCTATTAAGGCACAAACTTATATACCCCTACCACCCAACCCCTGCAAAATGGCAATCTTTTTTTTTTTTAAATCTTTGAAATGTGAACACCAATATTTGGGATTCAAGATTTTTACTTTCCTCAAAATAAAATATGACAAAAAAGCTACTCACTAGGTCACTCATGTGGATATGACCTTTAAAAAATATGTGATTTTTGATATATGAAAAAATGAATTTGCAAGTTTTCATTTCTAATTTTAAATCCTGGTCTTATATTGCCAATTTTCTCTAGATTAGCGCAATTGTGTTAAATTACAAAAGGAAAATAAATTCTAATGTTCCCAGAGTGACTTTATTATATCAAAATCTGGATTTCTCTCCAGTAAAGTAACTGTCTTGGATAAATACAACAGATTAAAGAATAGGGGAAATAAATGTTTGTTTACATTCTTTTAGCCCCTCTAGGGCAGAAACCATGCCTTCCAGTTCTCCAATATCCTTTACTCTATCTGCATCCAATACTGAGTGTCCCATCAATGGTCATTCACATTTCCCCCACACACCCTCTCTGTAAGCCTTAATTATAGATCATTTAAAAATGGATTGCTTTTTACAATGCTTGAAATTAAGCCTAAACTCATTGGAAGCAGTGCTAAATGCCAAAACCTACATTTTTTTAAAAAAATTGAAGGTATAGTACATGCACTCCAAACACATCACTGGCCTTCTTATTTAGAACTTCACTTGTGACAACAATACCATATATTTACACAGCACTAAGGAGTTTCACTTTCACCTGAATTATACTACTTATTCTTTCACCCAAAACTTGTTAATAGAGGCCAAGAAGATGCCACCATCCCCACTTTATGATGAAGAAATGAAGCCTCTGAGAAATATAATGAGTAGCTCAAGGTCAAAGAACAGAAGACAAGGACAGCAGGTATTTTAAACTCACCAGCACAGTCAGAAGCTCTGTGGGATCCTCTGTTTCAATATTATACATTAGTTTCAATAAAAGAAGCTCAAAAGATAGCCAATTTCTCTGAACTTCAACATATCATCTTGTCTTTGGGTTAATTTAATTTCAATAAATAAATAAATCTCAGAAGTTCCCTAACTTCTCTGATCCTTAGTTATTCTGTTTGTAAAACAGGGAAAACAACACTTACCTATAATGTTGTTGTGAATAGATAGATGATATAGATATAGATACATAGATATAGACATACAGGTGTATAGGCTGGAACACAGTATTTTGTGAATATAATTCCTTCCTCTCTATTCCAAATCCCCTAAAAACATGAACTAAAATACTGTTTATTTTTATGTTTTTAAATGCCTCCAAGACCCTACCACATAGCCAGCTGAATGGAAAGAATTACACGCCTTCAATCTCTTCCCCAAAGAGGTTACATTTATCAAGTTCTCTGCAATATTGAATATTCTACTCACACTACAACTTCTTAGTTGTTTTTAATGTCATATATTGTTAAAGAAAAGACTGAATTTTAGATAGCTTAGGGTTTGTGGCTTATAAGAACAAAACACATAAGGAGAATATATAAAAGGAATAAAGAATGTTCAGACTGGGCCCACAGAGCTCTACACGCCTTGCATAAAGACATGGATGTTTAAGTTTACAAAAGAAACTCAAAGCAGTTAAAACAATGGGATTTCTAGAAATAGAAAGTCTTTGTTTATCCACAGGTCAAGTAAAGTGCAAGCAAAAGAGAAGCTTTCTGTTGGCGGCAGTCTCCTGACCCACACACTGCTCAGGCGGCCTCCCTCTTGTTCTGCTGAGAAGTGACTCACATTCCACGTGCTGGGGCATTGGCCCAGCTTTAGGCTGATGCAGTAACCTTTGTATGCTCCCCAAGGAAGAGGCAGAGGAACCTCCCAGGTTGTTGGGGGAAGAAGGTAAGGTGGAGTGTAGACAAGGCAAGATGAAATATCTGATGCCCCTCTACTCTTCCCTGGTCAAAGAGAAATGTGGAGCAACTCAGGCTGGTGCAAACTTGAACTGTCAGCAGCACACAGCCCCAGAGATGGGAGAGTCACGGCCTAGTCTATGGTTCCGTAAAGGGCTAACGGACAACTGGCAGGTTATCAGGCAACCAGCAAATTCATTACTGCATTGTACAAATGTCTTTGAGTGTCTCCTAGGGCCAGGTTCCATGCTAGGTACCAGGGACTCAGAGACAAACAAGACAAAGCAGCAGCCCTACAAGACGGTCCATGAAAAAGGGACCTAAAATTAAAAAATGTGTGGAAAATACCCACATTGATTAGTTTCTTAGGGGCCCTGAACCAAAGAAACCCATTTCACAGTGTGTGTAACCCACTCAGTGTGTCCCTAATGCGTTCATGCAAGGAAGCTTTTGCTTATGTCTTATCTGTTAACACCAGCTGATACATCTCAGAATACACTTTAATATATGATGGTCTTAATTTGGTAAAAAGCAAAATGGAAAAAAAAATTAATTTCATTTTCTGCATGTTGATAAAAAGCCAGTCTTTGAGTTGTTTATGTATTAATAATTGTCTCACTTGACAATACATTCTCAATGATCAGGGATGGGTTGGGGGAATTCTACTATTTGGTACCTATGATAGTACTGTGCACAGAGAGGTGTGACATCTGAGAATGTGTGAGCAGTCAGTTTATCACCTGCCCCTCAGTGATAAATTGAATGGGTATGGCTGGTGAGCAGGTGGCTATATCCTCTCCTTGTACAACCCTGGGGGTGACCTTTCTTCCAAAGGCACACTGCTCTGTGATCAAGTGCATCTGCCCTAACCTAGTCTGACCCAACCATGATGCCGGTCTTCAGGACATTTTTCCAGGTTATTAAACAACAACTCTAAAAGACCTGCTTCAGAGATCAGGTAACCTCTTTCTCCATTAAATTGACAAGGTTTCCATGGGAATCACAAATGTTGTTATTTCACATACATGGGTTATAAATACCCTTTTCCAAGAAAATTGTTCTCAAGGATTGTACCTAAAAGATTTTGTCAAAAACAACAACAACTACAGTTATTGCCCTGGCCAGGTGGCTCAGTTGGTTGGAGCATCAGTCTATACCCCCAAAGGCTGCGTCAGGGCACATACTGAGGTTGTGGGTTCGATCCCTAATTGGGGAGCACACAGGAGGCAACCAATCAATGTTTCTCTCTCTCTCTCTAAATAAAAGCACACACACAAATTCTTGGGATAGATTAAAAAAAATTACAGCCAGCCCTGACTCTTTTGGCTTAGTGGTCAGAGTGTCAGCCCATGGACTGAAGAGTCTCAGGTTCAATAAGTCAAAGGCAACTAATCAATGTGTCACTTTTTCGTCCATGCTTCTCTCCCTCTCTCCCCCCCTCCTCCCTCTTTTCCACTCTCTCTAGCAATCAATGGAAAAAATATCCTCCAGTCAGGATTAAAAATAAACAAATACACAGCTATATACATCTATATTCCACATCTTTCTGGCATTTTAGATTAATTTTTAATCTTTTCATATATGGATTTTTCTGTATAATTCATTGCTATATCAGAGAAAGGTGATAATAAAAATGATAAGTTTTGAAAAGACAGGATTTCCTATTCTGATATCTGAGTTTATCTTATTTTTAGACCTGTTGATAAGTGCATGATTTTAAAATTTCTTTGCTTTAAGCCTTTGGGGCTGATTCTCAATCTTATCATTATTATTTTTTTGTTGAAAGAGCCATTGTTAATAGAGTTGGCTACATATAGTCTGCCAGTCTTGAGGAGGTTTTAATGGTATATTTTTCATCTTCATGCCAACTTTATTACTCATAACATATACCCAATAAAACAAGATGAGCCCTTCATATCTCTTCTCCTCCTAGTTTATTAGTGATTGCACAATGGAGGGTGTATACTGGAAAGGCCAAACAAGATGCTTCCTCCCCCTGGCCCTGTTTTTTCTAGATCAAAAACTTTGGAGCCATCCTTGATTTTATGCTTTCATCCAATCAGTTAGAAAGTCTTATTGTCACCAGAGTAAAAAAGCCATATTTCACAGATTCTACAATATTTCACATTTTAACCTACATGAAATCAGAATGTATCTCACAATCACTGGTGCCTTATATTCATTCTCCCCGAGGGAGGCAGTAATCCTGCCATACTTATCTTTGTCCACACAGACACTAATATCAAACAGCCAGTATCATACTTGCAAAATGGGTGTCAGCTGCTTGGAAGAAAATTCCAATAGTAGAACACATTCATTTAACCTCTGAGAATCAAATGGTTAGGAGGGTGGTAGGGAGATGACGAATCAGAAGTGCTAAAGAACATCCTCAAAGTGGGAGTCAAAATCTGGCTAGTTCTACATACATAATTAGAACCTGAATTAAGATCCCAGTACCAAGACTTGGGCTTTCTGCCAAATGGAGTGGTAGGGCCCAGGCTCAATCTCTTGTCTGAAACAGCCAAAGGGTCAGAAAAAAATATATGAAACCATGACTTTCAAGATACAGGATATCAAACAAGAAGGTCAGCGATCATTGAGCGTCAAGAAACAAAGTAGGTAAGCGTTAACATTACTTCACCTTACTGCCATGAGAGACTTTCTAGGTGGTAGCTCAGGAAGTGGGCACTCACAGCCCATTGGATTCCCTGAGTTGAGGAGACAAAGCTGAGAGTTCAAAATCAAGGCAGCTAGAGTCTGAAGGACAAATTACCAGAGAGAGAGAGAACTATACAGAGAAATGACTCAAGAGATTTAAGAGTGCTCCCTACAGATATCCAGCAGCACACTCACACCAATCAATCAGTACATGCATGTGGAGAAACGACCTGAGGCCAGAAAAGAACCAGGCCGGTAAAGGAATTATAGGGTTGAGTACCTGCCACACATCTAGGGCCTGAATAGTGTCTTATCCCATCAGCTGGGCTGTCATTGGACAGTGAGCACTGAGAAAGGTCTTGCCTCA